TGGGAAGATCTTAGAGAAAGGTTCAATAAGGTCAATGATACTCGTTCATTCAATCTACACAAATACATTGCAACCCTAACACAAGGTAACTCATCTATTTCTGTATATTACTCAAAGTTAAAGGACTTATGGGATGAGTTTGATGCCCCAATGCCTTCCCCTGGTTGTGATTGTCCAAAATCAAAGGATTTCCTTGTGTTTCTTCAAAGACTGAGAGTATATCAGTTCCTCATGGGGCTTAATGACTCGTATATGCAAGCTAGAAGTCAAATTCTATTAAGGGTTCCCTTACCTAATGTCAACCAAGCGTATGCCGTGCTTATTAGTGATGAAAGCCAAAGGGCTATAGCAGCTACTACAGGTATCCTTGGAGCTACTCCTACTGTGAATATGAATGTCAATAACTTTGAGTCCAGAACCCTATATAGCTCCAGACCTGGCAACAATCAGAAGTTTAAGAAGAATTACAACATACAATATGAATTTTGCAAGATTAAAGGGCATAGTAACGAAAACTGTTACAAGATTGTAGGGTATCCTGCCGACTTCAAGTTCAAAACGAAGAGTGGTTCAGAAGGTAATAATGCCTATAGTGCCTTGGCCGAGTGTGAAAATCAAAGCCCTACTGATAGCACATCCCCACAGATGCCATTTACTGGGAAGAATGAGTGCTCCACAGATGGCATATACTGGACAACACATGAGTGTGATTGGTGCTCCTCAGATGACACAAACTGGCCAGCAGTTGGAAACTCAAGCCAGGTTTTCTAATGCTGCCTCAGCCACTCCATTGGCACCTCTTGCCTCTACCTTCNCGGCACCTCTTGCCTGTACCTTCACCAATGAGCAATATGATCAAATTTTACAAATGCTTAACAAAGCTACCTGCTCCTCATCCTCTTCATCTGCAAATGTAGCAGGTATAAGTAGTGCTTGCTTGGCTTCTGTCTCTAGTGAACAATAAACAGAAGAAACAGATACAGATAGTGCCTGCTTGGCTTCTAACTCTAATAGTCAACAGGAGTGGATTATTGACACTGGTGCTACAAATCATATGGTGTCTAACATTAACCTACTAGATCAGTCTTCTGTTGTACCAGTTAAGTCTAAGAAGGTGTTTCTGCCTATTGGTGATGTCACACAAGTTACACATATAGGTGCCAGTCCTATTTCTGACAGAAGCATACTCAAGAATGTTTTTTATCTCCCAGAGTTTAAGTACAACTTGCTATCAGTCTCTAAGGTGACTAGAGGTTTATGTTGTTGTGTGGCATTCTTTCCTAACTTTTGTATCTTCCAGGATCTCTTCAATGGGAGGATGAGGGAGATTGGTAAGGAAGAGGATGGGCTCTACATTCTACTCAACCAACCTCCTGGAAAGCCTGTGGCAATATCATTAGCAGCTCAAGCTTGTAATGCAGGGAATAAAGTGGACATTGCACTTTGGCACAGAAGACTTGGCCATGTCTCCTCTATAGTTCTAAAGAGAATGTTTTCCTGTACTTTATCACATATATCTGCTACTGTCAATAAGTGTAGTGTTTGTCCCTGTGCTAAACAGCCTAGACTTCCATTTCCACCTAGTAGCATTAAAAGCATAAGTGCATTTGACATGATTCATGTGGATGTATGGGGCCCCTACAAAACTGCTACATTTGATAGTAATAAATACTTTTTGACAATTGTTGATGACTACACTAGAATGACTTGGCTCTTTCTGTTAAAACTCAAGACTGATGTCTGTGTGTGGCCTTGCAACAGTTTCTAATGTATGTGAGTACTCAGTTCAACAAAATAGTTAAAGTTGTGAGGACTGACAATGGTACAGAATTTGTTAACAGTGTATGTGAGGATATGTTCAAGAAACTAGGAATTGTTCATCAAAGAACCTGTGCTTACAGTCCTCAGCAGAATGGAGTTGCTGAGAGAAAGCATAGGCACATTTTAGAGGTAACAAGGGCAATCAGATTTCAGGCCTCTATTCCTCTTAAGTTTTAGGGCCATTGTATACTTGCAGCAATTTATCTCATCAAGATGCCTTCACTTGTCACTGGAGGCAGATCTCCTTATGAGCTGCTGTATAGTAGGAAACCTCAGTTGGAACATTTAAGGGTGCTAGGTTGCCTTTGTTATGCCAAAGTTGTGCAGGAAACTGACAAGTTTCAAACCAGAACAAGGATGGCAGTCCATATGGGGTATTCAGATGTTCAGAAAGGGTATATTCTCTATAACTTGTCCAACCATGTGTTCTTTGTTAATAGAGATGTAGCCTTCAAAGAAGAGGTGTTTCCCTTTCAAACAAGCACCTCCTCTCCTGCACCTGTGTATGTTCCAGATGAGTACTCAAATTCACCCGTTGAGCCTCAAACTAGTCCTACACATAGGTCATCTACTGAATCTTCTAGTGTTGTTCCTAACAATCCCAATCTCAGCATAAATGATACCTCAAATACAGAATCTACTAGTGAGGGAGACTCAACAACTTCAGCTACATCACCTCCAATGGAGACTAATGATGCTGCCACTATCAGAAGATCCACTAGGGAGAAGAATCCTCCTATTTGGTTGAAGGATTTTGTTACCCTTAATGTTCACAAGGATGTTCTATATGCCATATCCAATTATGTGTCCTATGAGAGGCTGACTCCCAAGTATCAAGCTTACATAGCAGCCTTCTCCTCTATTGTGGAGCCTAATACCTATGAAGAAGCCAGTAGAGATCCCAGGTGGATAGAAGCAATGAAATTTGAGATTGCTGCACTTGAAGACAATCATACCTGGGACATTGTGTCTCTACCAGCTGGTAAACATCCAATTGGTTGCAAATGGATCTACAGAATTAAATATAAGGCCACAGGAGAGGTTGAAAGATTCAAAGCCCAACTGGTTGCAAAGGGATACAGCCAACAGGAGGGTATTGACTATCAGGAGACTTTTTCTCATGTAGTCAAGATGGTTACAGTTAGAACTGTTTTAGCAATTGCAGCTGCCAAGAAGTGGCACATACATCAAATGGATGTCTACAATGCATTCCTCGAAGGGGATTTGCATGATGAGATTTATATGGACTTACCACAAGGATTTAAGAGCCAGGGGGAGTCAAGACCAGTTTGCAGGCTCATAAAATCCTTGTATGGTCTCAAGCAAGCACCAAGGCAATAGAATGCCAAGTTAACAGAGGCACTACTTAGCTTTGGTTTTCTGCAGAGCCAGCATGACCATTCCTTGTTTGTCCAAAAGACTGAGGGTGGCATCACAGTTGTACTAGTTTATGTTGATGACCTGCTGATAACTGGGACACATATTAGTCTTATTACTAAGACAAAAACAAAACTGCAACAAGCTTTCAAGATGAAGGATCTAGGAGACCTAAAGTACTTTCTTGGTATAGAATTTGCTAGATCAGAGCAGGGCCTGTTGATGCATCAAAGGAAATATGCTCTAGAACTTATCTCTGGAGTGGGGTTAGGGGCAGCCAAGCTAGCTGTTACACGTCTTGAAACATATATCAAACTTACCACTAAGGAGTTTGATGATCATGTGGGAACAAATAACAAAGAGCAGGATGAACTACTATCTGATGTAAGAAGTTACCAGAGATTGATAGGAAAACTTCTTTATCTTACAGTAACAAGGCCTGACATAGCATACAATGTTCAAACATTGAGTCAGTTCTTGCAAAGTCCTAAGAAGTCACATATGGAGGCTGCTTTGAGAGTTGTACGATATGTGAAAAATCAGCCAGGACAAGGTATTCTATTATCAAGATATAACAAGGACACAGTCACGGCATACTGTGATGCAGACTGGGCAGTCTGCCCTCATACCAGAAAATCTGTTACAGGCTCTCTCATTAAGTTTGGTGACTCTCTAGTATCTTGGAAGTCAAAGAAGCATAGTACAATTTCTAGAAGTTCTGCAGAAGCTGAATATAGAAGTTTAGCATCCTCGGTTGCAGAACTAACATGGCTGTTGGGACTGATCAAAGACACGGGAGTCGAGGTCAAACTGCCTGTAACTGTCCTCTGTGATAGCAAATCAGCATTGCAGATTGCTGCAAATCCTGTGTTTCATGAACGGACCAAGCATATCGACATAGACTGCCACTTTATTAGGGAGAAAATTCAAGAAGGATTAGTCAGAACAGAGTATGTGACAACAAGAGATCAACTAGCTGATATTCTGACAAAGAGCTTGAACAAAGTGCAACATGAGTACCTGAATTCCAAGCTAGGTGTTTTTGATATCTTTACACCACCTAGCTTGACGGGGTGTGTTGAGAAGGGTATTACATAAAAGAGACTAGATGTTAGTTTAGTCTATTTAACTGTAGAGTATTAAGTAATGTCGGTTAGATGAATTAATTAGAATTAGTTGATGTATATATGTTTGTACTGTCAGTTACAGTAATAAGAGACAAGAGTGAGTTGCTCTAGTAGTAAGCACCCTTCACTTCCAACCAAGAGGTTGTGAGTTCGAGTCACCCCAAGAGCAAGGTGGGGAGTTCTTGGAGGGAGGGAGCCGAGGGTCTATCGGAAACAAACTCTCTACCCAGGGTAGGGGTAAGGTCTGCATACACACTATCCTCCCCAGACATCACTAGTGGGATTATATTGTTGTTGATGTTTACTGTCAGTTACAGTAATAACAGAATTCATTTTCCTCGATTGTTTCTCTCTCTAAACTCCCAGTGCTCTCTCGTCTCTCTTTCTGCTCTCCATTTCCAATTAGGGTTCATCAGAATTGATCCCTTTGATTTCATCAACCAGTCATGTTATGTTGTTGACTAACAAGCTCTATAACTGGATAACTAGCACTGATGACCTCATTACATTGGATGTTTTAGTAAGCAAATGAAATCATAAAATCTTACCACAGGACGGGGCCTCTTGGGCCTGGAGCGCCTGAGCTCCTGTAATTTGTCCGCGTTAGCCACACCTAGCACCGCCGACTCATACGTCGCGAAGTTTCCAACAATTCTCTTGTCCGATTCCAGACTAAGGTAAGCCTCAACCTGATTAGGAACAGCCGGCGGCAGCCACTGTCTCGAATTGAACATCAAGCCCAATTCAGCAGGCACAGAATCAAACCCACAAGCCGAAACAATCAAAGAGCCCATATCCACAGCCTTCTCATGGTACTTCACTTCCATCCTCTCCATAAACTCGGGCTCCCCACATATATCCAAGTAATCGCAACCCGAATCAACACAGGCCTCAACGACGGGCTCACCGTACAGACGAAATGGGCCGACACAATTAAGAATGATCTTAGCCTGAGAAGCGAGGTGGCGGAGAGAAGATGGGTCGGTTGTGTCGGCGGTGAGGATTGGAATTTGGGGTGGTGGGTTTGGACGGGCTGCCCATTGGAGAGCCTGGGAAAGTTTGGAACTGTTACGGCCCGCTATAGCTAAGCTTTTTAATGGGGAAGAGGGAGCGTTGAGGAATTTGAGAGCTTCTCTAATGACGTATTTGCCTGTAAAACCTGAGGCACCTAAGATTATCACGTCGTAAGTTGGGTTTGGATTGAGATTTTGAGACATTTTTAGATCGGAAATCAAATACTAGTTGGATAGTGTGATTCGTTTTCGTCTTTGGATTGCTAATCAGTGGAGAGATAGAGAGTGAACTTTGAGACGAATAGAGAGGGGACTAGAAATGCGTGCCTCAACTGCCATGATCCCGTGATTCTCTCCCAGAATCTGAGAGAAAGATAATGGATCTTATTTCATTTTTCAGTCACAAATTCAAACATGGTTCTATGGTGTAGTGGTTAGCACTCTGGACTTTGAATCCAGCGACCTGGGTCCGACTCCCGGTAGGACCTTTCTCCTTTTTCTTCTTTTTTCTTTTATTTTTTCCCTCTCTTTGTTCATTGTTCCTATATCTTTTCCTGTTCATTTTACTCCAAAAGCGCACTCAAAATGTCATGTCTTTAGAATTGGGATACGTCCGATGTTAACCAATCTGATCAAACTTTTTAGAATTAATTTAATTCAACAATTTGCTATTTGCATTGGATTCTTCTCAACTTAGCAAACCTCTCTATAACATTGTCATTTGTTCTGATTTTTTTTTTTATTATAGTAAAATGTTGTCATAGAGAATATACATTATAACATAATATAAAAATTCTGTCCGAAAAAAATGTGACTTTTATAGTAAATGATTATTATATAGGAATGTTGTTATAGATATGTCTAACTATATTTCGTTATAAAAATTGATCATCATAACACACTAATGAACTACATGAGGTAGAGGCATAGAGCAAACACGAACTAATCAAAGACCCGTTTGAGCTCTTGCTTTTGCAAAAGATTCAAAAACCTCAACCAAAAAAAATCAAAATTTTATCAGAAAACGAAAATAAAGACGCTTCATAGTATCACGTCAATTATGACTTCTCATACATTTTGACATATGGGCATAGAGAGACATCTTACACTTGCTATCTGAAAGAAAAATGAAACATCTTATTGATTGTTGAAAGGATTTTTGGAAAAAATCACACTTTTCAAACTTACTCATATTTTTGGCAATTTCGGTAAAAGATTTGGATTTTCACTTAGATACTTGAAAAGCATGCCTATTTTCTGGAACTGTGAACGAGCTGAGTATTTTATTTCTGAGATACTCCTTTTATTACTTGTACTATGTTGTTATGAATTATTGTGGGATACTGGTATTGGACCCGACCTTTGTTCTAGCTCGTCGCTACTTTCAACCTAAGGTTAGGTTTGTTACTATTGAGTACATGGGGTTGGTTGTACTCATACTATATTTCTGCACCTTGCGTGCAGATATTGACTGCTGACGTTGTTGTGATCGACGGGAACCAGAATTTGAAGATGTACCTGCGTTCCGGTTGTAACTGCCTCTTGTTCATAGTAGCCTTAGATCTATAAAACTTTGTTTATGTACTATTCAAACAGATGATGTATTTAATTCATTTCAACTTTGTAAACTCTATTCTTAGAAACTCGTGATTTGTATTGCCAGTCCTTGGAAAATGTATAGGATTTAGATATTTTCTTTTACTTAATTGTCTTATTAAATCTCATTGGGATTTGATAGTTGTTAATTGGCTTACCTAGCGGGTTGGGTTAGGTGCCATCACGACTAGTTAAATTTTGGGTCATGACAAGTTGGTATTAGAGCTCTAGGTTCATAGGTTCTACAAGTCATGAGCAAGTATCTAGTAGAATCTTACGGATTGGTATGATGACGTCCATACCTATCTTCGAGAGGCTACAGGATATTTAGGATATACTTCCCATCTTTCTTTCCTTATCGTGCGACATTGATTCATCTTGAAGCGTAACTCTTTGAATTCCTTTCACGCATTCGCATACGCACATGAGCGCTCGGTATCAGCTGTGCATCCCCGACTTGTGATTCTATGAACGTGGTTTGAGATGTGTATTCTGTATTTTGGTGATGGGCCAGTTTGGAGGACTTGAGGCCATGGTTAGACCGCAGCTTAAGCTCGGTAGCTTCAGTTGTAACTTTTACATTTGGACTCATATGTTTGGTAATGTCCATACGAGTAGAATTTGTGACTCGATGAGCGGTAGAATGGCTTTGTGATGAGTATGATGTGACTGCGGGATGTATTAAGACGATTTGAATGCGACGGGAAGTGTTTCCTTGAAATGTAAAGGAAGGCCCATTGGATGCTTGATTTTTGTTTTGATGTAACGTACAATCTCGAGTATGAGTGCATTGAAGGATCCTTTCTGTTGCTTAATGCTGGAACGAAATAGGTTCTCATGTCTTATTGTCGAGATCAGACTCAGGAAGATTAAGTGAGAGAGGGTATAAAGAGATATCAGTTTGAGGCTAAGCAGGTGGGTTATCACCTGCGAGGTAATCTACGGATGTGTGGTTTTTATAACGTTGTGTGGGGGCTTTCTTTTCTACCAATGGGGTATATTTGTGCGATTTGAGTTTGGATCGGTTATAACAGTTGACCTGACTATCACGAGGATGAATATGAGATTTGCAAACGATTTGAGGTATTATATGGTTTGTGTTACATGAGCTTACAAAGGATTTAGTTGAATTTCAGTGCGGGATTCTGGAAGTAATAGAGTATGGGTATCATGATGTTATCGACTGTTTTGTTCTATGGCTTTGAGCCAAGTGGGAAAGTCTGCTATCGACGAGTTGATTGCACGGTTATGTGTTGTATTGGTTTCAGTTTGAGGTATACTGGTGAATCAGTTATGACTTGCAGAAGTTGAGATCGAGGATGACTCGAGTAAAGGAATTTCTGGATACAAGTTGTAATACACTCTATGGGTATATGGGAATCATAAAATAAGAGCGTGGTTATTTGTGAAGGATGTAGTGTGCATGGAGCAGGAATTTGCTCGGTTGCTTAGGAGTGTAGGTTACTTCTTAGGGTATTGGTGTGCTAATGGGGAACAAGTTGCTTGGTCCGTTTAGTCGGTTGAATTAAGATCGGAGTAGAGTAGATGATTCTCGAGAAAAGGGTCTAATGGATTCAAGATTTATATGTAGCAATTGGGAATTTTCAGGATTTGTATATGGGAAGAAACTGAGATTTACATTGGATGGTGTCAAGACTTGTGGCATTTATATATCAGTCAGAGTTGATTTGGGGTTTATTGATAAGCCCAATAAGTATGTGTATTCTACACCGGGTCAGACTGGTCGACTCTGTACTGTTATTATTGAGGGATGTGCCATTTGGTTGGTGTTGAGCTTATTCGTGTTCTAATATGTTCTGTGAGTTACTCTTCTATGCTACGAGGGGTTGTGATTCGTTTGTTGTATGCACACATAGTGCAATTCTATTGGGGCCTTATAGTGGAATTTGCGCGAGATGGGTATTTGGGTGATGCATGATTGATGGTGCATTGGTTAAGTTCTTTCGGGTTTGTGTGGCATTATGTCATTTGCTTCTCCGTGGTTATGGTCATGCACCTTGGGTTCTTGATGTCGAATTGTGCGTGGTTATTAATTTTGAGCATGGTGGCTCGAGGTATCTCATATGGGCCAGTGTTTGGACGGGGTCACGCATTGCGGCAGAGTTATGTTGAGATAAGATCTTTTGTGTTAGATTCGTATGCTATGGTTCTACGGTGTGTGATGGGTTCTTAGCATTACGTTGTGGTGGTACCCGTTGAGCTTGCGAGACGGTTCTCTTGTTTGAGTCATTTTCGTGATTGAGTACATTTGGATTGTTGCTTATTGGTTCATAGATTGCACGGTTTGTGGCTCTGGGTAGTATTGGTGTTGCTGTCAGTAGAGTAGTTGGTATTTGATAATATGAAGTCGTCGGATCTAGGATGCGTGCTATCGGATTTGATTGCGGTATATTTGGAAGGATAATATCGGAAGTCGTCTTAGGAATTAGCTATAGTTCTTGTTGAAGTAGAGGGAGCTCCATGACTTGTTGGTCTAATGAATGGTTATGAGTTTCCGCGTGTTTCTTTCATCATCGATAGTGTACGAAGTTTTTAAGAAGAGGGTTGTTTGACATGAGGTTTATTACTGGAATTGGGTTGTTTTGGACAGCTGCTGTGATTAGAAATCATTGCTATGAGTATTTGAGTTATGCGGTATATCAAGTGATTACATCTTGGGTTATGGATATGGCTTGATACAACTTGTTCAGACTTATACAGAGTGTTGATACGAGATTCTAATCTTATAGAAAGTTCCGGATGTTGGAAATTGGATTCTAAGGCTTATGGACTAGGTTAAATTAAGTAAATCTCAGTTATGTTGTGTTATCAGACTTATATGGGATAAGGTAATGTGAGATCACCCCCGAGTATGTGCATGGTAAGGTTATATGGCGGCTTGATGGCTTTGGAGCAACTCGTGGCACGTTCGAGGACGAACGTATGTTTAAGTGGGGGAGAATGTAATGACTCAATCGGTCGTTTTGAGCATTTGCACTTCGCTCGGTAGTTTACGGGTATGAGTAGCTCCGTATGATATATTATGACTTATCTGAATTGTCGGTTTTGATTTTCAGGTTATTTGGAATCGAATTGGAAGAATGAATTTCATTGTTGAAGCTTTAAATTGAGAGAGTTGACCAAGTTTGATTTTTTGTGAATTTGAACCCGGAACGGAGTTTTGATGGTTCCGGTAGGTCTGTTGGGTTATTTTGGACTTAGGAGCGCGTCCGAATTGTGATTTGGAGGTCCGTAGTGGAATTTGGCTTGAATTGGCGAAAATTGGAAATTTGAAGTTTTGGAAAGTTCAAAAGTTTGACCAAGAGTTGACTTTGTAGATATCAGGATCAGATTGTAGTTCGGGGAGTTGGAATAGTTTTTTTATGTCATTTGGGACTTGTGTGCAAAATTTGAGGTCAATCGAGCGTGATTTGATAGGTTTTGGCATCGGTTGTGGAAGTTTGAAGTTCAAACTTCATCAAGTTTGAATTTAGATGCGATTCGTCGTTCGATGTTGTTATGTATGTCTTGAGGCCTCGAGTAGGTTCGTGTTATGTTATGGGACTTGTTGGTATACTTGGTCGGGGTCCCGAGGGGTTCGGGCGTATTTCAGATCGATTTCGGATCATTTTCTTCATGTTTTCATTGCTGGTTGCTGCTGGTTCTGGTGTGACCGCACCTGCGGTTGGTTTGCATATGTCGCAGAAGCGGGATGAGAGCTGGATGAGGAGGTCCGTAGGAGCAGAGAAAAGGGCGCAGGTGCGGATATGCAGGTGCGTCGAGTGGAAGAGCAGGTGCGATGGTCTTCGCAGATGCGGCGTT